CCACACTGTTTTGATTACTAGCTTTGTAGATTAGTTTTAAGTCTGGGATTGTGATTCTCCTTCTTTGTTCTTCTTTCTCAAGATTGCTTTGGCTATTTTGAGTCTTTTGTGGTTACATATAAATTTTAGGGTTATTCTAGCTCTCTGAAAATACATTTTGATAAAGATTGCACTGAATCTATAGATTGCTTTGGGTGGCATGGACATTTTAATAATATTTTTCCAATCCATGAACACAGTATATATTTTCTATTTATTTGTGTCATCCTAAATTTCTCACTAATGTGTTACAGTTTTCAGAGTACATGTCTTTCATCTCCTTGATTAAATTTATGCCTAGGTATTTTATTCTTTTTGATGAAATTGTAAATGGGATTATTTTATTAATTTCTCCAATAGTTTTAGTATATAGAAATGCAACAGATTTCTGTATTTAAATTTTGTATCCTGCAACTTTACTGAATATATTTATTAGTTCGACTTGTGTTTTGGTGGAGTTTTTAGAGTTTTCTACATATAGTATCATGTCATCTGCAGATAGTGACGATTTTTCTTCCTTATCAATTTGGATGCTTTCATTTCCTGACTAATTGCTGTGGCTAGGACTTCTAGTAGTATGTTGAATGAATGGTGAGAGTGGCCATCTGTTTTTTTCCTGATCTTAGGGGAAAATCTCTAAGCTTTTTACCATTGAGTATGATATTAGCTATGGCTTTATCATATGTGGTCTTTATTATGTTGAGTATGTTCTCTCTGTACCACTTTGTTGAAAGTTTTTATTATAATGGATGTTAAATTTGGTCAAATGCTTTTTCTGCATCTATTGAGATGATCATATGGTTTTTATTCTGGTAATTTTGGTAATGTGTATCATGTTGATTAAATTTGTGGATAATGACATCCTTGCATCCTTGGAATGAATCTTACATGATCATAGTGTATGATCCTTTTAATGTACTATTGAATTTTGCTTGCTAATATTTGGGGATTGTTGTATTTATTTACCAGTCTGTAATTACTTTTGGTAGTGTCTTTATTTACTTATTTTTTGTATTAGGGTAATGTCGGCCTTGTAGAATGAATTTGGAAGTGTTCCTTCTTCAAATATTTTGAGTTTGAGAATAGTTTGATAAGGATAGGTATTAACTCTTCTTTAAATGTTGGGTAGTGTTCACCTGTGAAGCCGTCTGGTGCTGGACTTTTGTTTGTTGGGATTTCTTTTTTTTAAATTACTGATTCAATATCCTTATTACTAATCTATCTGTTTTGATTTTCTTTTTCTCCCTGGCTCAGTCTTGGAAGATTGTATGCTTCTAGGAATTTATCCATTTCCTCTAGGTTACCCAATGTGTTGGCATATTATTGTGCATAGTACTCTTGTATCTTTTGTATTTATATGGTTTTAACTTTTTTGTGGCTGTATTTTTATATTTCTGTTAGTTGTAACTTCTCTCTCATTTCTGATTTTATTTATTTGGGCCCTCTGTTTTTTTATTTACAAGTGTGGCTAAAAGTTTATCAAATTAGTTTACCTTTTCAAAG